ATTTCCTATACCTTATCCAGCCATTGCAGAAGGTTCTTCTTTTTTCCAGTTTTTGGTGTATGTGATCCTTGCTGCAGTTGTTAAATATATAAAGAGGATATCTTTGTTTGAGGCCAGAACAATGTCAGTGTCTGTTAACCCTAATTAAAAAATATTCCAGTTTCATCTTTATGTTTGTGCGTAATATGTTCTGACAAGTCTCTTGAGGTTCATTCCAATACCTTTTGGCTTTTTTACAGGTCCAACACATATGAAAAAGGGTGCTTTCCTGTTCTCCACACTTCCAACATTTATTTTGGGTATTTTTATAGATTAAACCTAAATTTTGTGAGGTCATGTACCAATGGCACATCACTTTGTACCAATTCTCCTTTAAATCTGTTGCGCAGGTGTATTTAAAAAATTTGTTCCACATTTGTTCCCATTCTTCAAGTTTGATAGCCCTTCCTATCTTTGATATCCATTTTGTCATGCAATTCTTTACTAATTCTGTTTCGGTAGCCCATTTCCTCATTTTTTCTATCTAATATAAGTATAGGTAAAGGTAAAGGTAGTCCCCTGACATTAAGTCCAGTCATGTCTGACTCTGGGGTGTGGTGCTCATCTCCATTTCTAAGCGGAAGAGCCAGCGTTGTCCATAGTCACCTCCAAGGTCATGTGGCTGGCATGACTGCATGGAGCGCCGTTACCTTCCCGCCGGAGCGGTACCTATTGATCTACTCACATTTGCATGTTTTTGAACTGCTAGGTTGGCAGAAGCTAGGGCTGACAGCGGAAGCTCACGCCGCTCCCCGGAATCGAACCTGCGACCTTTCGATCAACAAGCTCAGCAGCTCAGTGCTTTAACCCACTGCACCACCGGGGGCTCCATAATATAAGCATACTTCTACTTATTTATGCTTCTAACTATTCTTTAATTCCAAAAACTGATCATCTTCCCTAATGTTTTTTTAATAATTATTATCTGAAACACAATAAGATTAGTACACAGCAAAGAAGATCACTCTGTTGCCTGATTTACTGGATCACACATCGGACATTTCCCAAGTGTCTAAGACTGTGTGATGTATCGGCGAATAATGTGTGCAGATCCAAGTAGGGTGGCCTTTTGTAGCTGACAGATGGTAATTTTGTCAGTGCCAATTGTGCTGATTATTATTTTACCGACACAACCCCACAGTATATCACAGCAAACGAGATCTATATGCTGGATTTCGTATCACAAAATCACAAGTCAAACACTCCCAAGCGTCTAGGACTGTGTGATGTATTTTTGAATGATGCGCGCAGATCCAAGTAAGGTGGCCTTTTGCAGTTGACAGATTGTGATTTTGTCAATGTTTATTGTTTCCAAATGCCGGCTGAGATCTTTTGGCACGGCACCCAGTGTGCCAATGACCACTGGGACCACCTGTACTGGTATTATATATATTATATATATATATATATATATATAATATTTTTTATTATTTTATCATGGTTTAATACATTTGTTATACATTTGTTTTACAGCAGATACATATTATTCAATACAACCTAACATACTTTTGGCATCTAGTGTTATTTTTCTGCTTATACATATTGTCTATCTCTCACCGCAGTGCTCCCCTCCCCCCTCCCAAGCCACAGCTTTTACATGTCATCTGTCCAAAATTTCAATTCTTCTTGTGGAGGTAACTTTCCTTCTTTATTTTTTAATCCTTTTTCAATAAATTTTCTCCATGCATCATCAAAATCGCTTTGTTTCCATATACCTCTTTTAACTTTTAATATACAAGTCAACTTATCATTTATTGCCAGTTTCCATACTTCCTTGTACCACTCCTCTATTTGTGTATTTATTTCTCTTTTCCAGTTCCTTGCTAGAAGCAGTCTTGCTATTGTTAATAAATTTGTTATCGCTTCTTTATCCTCTTTTTTCAATTGTTTATTATTGTATAATGATAATAAAGGTATACTAGGATTTCTTTCTATTTTAATATTCATTATATCTTCTATTTCTAAATACTTTCTCCCAAAAATTATTTACATATTTACATTGCCACCACATATGTATATATGTTCCTGGTTCTTGACACCCTCTCCAACAATTTTTTGAATAGTTTTTATTTATGTGTGCTATTCTTACTGGTTTTAGGTACCATTTCCATATTAACTTATAATAATTTTCTTTAACCCGTATTGATAATTTTTTTAGATGTCTTTGTCTCCATAATTGTTGCCACTCTGTTTCATTTATTTTTATCCCTAAATCTTCTTCCCAGACCTCCTTGAGGGTGTTATTTTTTGTTTTTCCGTCCTTTATTTCAATTATTATCTTATATATTTTACTAGTTATTCCTTTCAAATTTTCATTCTCTTCTACAACCCTTCCATTTTGTATTATTTGTTCAAATTGGTTAAGCTTACTTCTGTTTTTATTATTTTTCCCCAATTTTTAAACCATTGTTCTAATTGTATACAATGGAACCATGTCAATTTTATTTCTTGAAATTCTTCCATAATCGTTTCCTTCTTAATTCCAACCTTTATCCAATTCCCTATTTTGTCTAATTCTTTTCCCTTAATTTTTTATCCATTACTTTTTTTATTTCTTTTCCATTATAATTGGGGTTATTACTGAACCCTCCGTTATTAACATTCTCCTATATTTGTTCCATACTTCTAATGTATTGCTCAACATTGGGATTCTAATTTCCCTAGTTTCTTTTCTCGTAAACTGTTTAAAAAATATATTCCAAATTTCTTCCTCCACTTCTTTCGAATCCTTACTTAGCCAATCTACTCCCTCCCTCTTTTTTTATCATTCCTTCTATAACCAATCTTGATCTACTCACTTCATAATATTTTTTGATATTAGGGAGTGCTAATCCTCCCTTTTTGCAATCTGTACCATAACTGTTTGTTTAAACTATTTCTTTTACTACCATTACAATACTTATTTATCATTTGTTGCCATCTATTTAGCTCTTCTCTGTACTGGTTTATGCCAGAGCCTTTGCAGTTCGATTTTGAGGTCTTGATAATGGCTGAGTTTTTCCTGTTGTTATTAATTCTGTTTTGGTAGCCCATTTCTGTTTCGGTATCATCATCATCATCATCATCATCATCATCATCATCTCCTCCATGACTGCACAACTTCTGGACTTCTTCCTAAGGCGGCATTGGTGCTTTCTCCACTCTGCAGAACAACCCTCATCTTATCCAGAGATTATATCAAACCCCCATAATTTTGAGCACTCACTTATACATGAGTATATATGGTATTACATTGTGATTTTTTTCCCTACTAATGTCTGGGCAATGGAGAAGTCTTGCTAGGATCTCTCTGTCTCTTCTCAGGGATCACACCAGCGATTGCCCAGGTGAGGAGTTTTTCGAGGACTGTCTAACCTGAGAATGGTGAATCATGAAGGTCAATCTCAGGTCCGTCAGCCCACGAGAAGCTGCCTCCACAGCTCTGGGGCCACGAGATGTCTCACACTTCCACGCTGGACTAGCAGCTGGCCCCATTTTTTGGCACCAGGTGAGAACCCTTCAAATATGTGTTTTGTGTAGGAGAGATTGAAAAAGAAAGGGGGGGACACATGGCCAAAGAACTGTATCCTCTTCCTGCCACCCCATCTTTCTGGTAGAGTGTTAGGAATTGTGGAAGTTGAAGTCTAAAACACCTGGAGGGCCAAAGTTTGTCCATGCTTGGTATATATCTATATCTATATATCTATATATCTATATATCTATATATCTATATATCTATATATCTATATATCTATATGCTGTTCATTTTGAGTGACATCATAACTCAAAACCTGCTGGACAAATTGCCTCCAAATTTGGCCATAAGATACCTACTAACCCAATGAGTGACCATCACTCAAAAATTTTGATTTTGTCATTTGGGAGTTATGATCAGACAGCTCAGGAATGACTAACATGGGTCAATACCATTCATCCTTGCATTAAATTTACAGGCAACATCAATCCCAATAGTGTAGCATATCTGGATGTAAAAGTAATGAAAGACAACAATAAGCTGCTAGTTAACAATTATTGCAAACCCTCAGACAGAAATGTATTTCTGCATTACAATAGTTATCACAGCATACCCCTCAAAAATAATCTACCATATGCACAGATGTTAAGAATCAAACATAACTGCACCTTACCACAGGACTTCGAACATAACAAGGAAATACTGCAAAATCAGTTTAGAGACAAGGGCTATCCTGAACATGTGATTCATAAGGCTAGCACTAAAGCCTCCAGTGTTCCAAGATCTGCTATACTAGAGGATAAGATTAAACCCAAGGATAACAGAGTAGTATGGCCTTGGTGAGAGATGTACCAGGTTGTGAGAGACCCCCCCCCCCATTGCTCATAGGAGAACACAAAACATCAGGGATATTTTGATTCACTCAGATACAGACCCTAAGCCAGTGGTCTCTAAACCTATTCTAGTGGGAAACTATGCTTGTCATCACTGTTCTATATGTTCACAGTTTGTACAAACTAAGTTCTTTCAGAACCAGCACACTAAAACTCAGTATAGAATCAATCATTTTGCTACCTGCTCCACTGAAGGTGTAGTATATGCCATCACCTGTCCCTGCTCACTGGTTTACATTGGTCAAACAAGCAGAGAAGTTAAGCTCAGGATCATTGAGCACAAGAGTAGAATCAGGAAACACTCTACTGATTCCATCCTGTATAAGCATTTTGTGGACTTGAACCATAGCCCTGAATCATTTCAAGTACAGATTTTAGAGGTGGTTACTCCACCCAGAGACACTGACCTCCAAACTAAACTTTTACAACGGGAATCCTTCTGGATCTTTACCCTGCAAACAGAACATCCAAAAGGGTTAAACAACACCAATTCATATGACTGTTTTTTATTACAGAGTAGGTTTTACCCCTATGTATTCTGAGCTAATTATGTTGTCACCATCACCTGACCAATGGACTTGCTATATTAGTAATGGGTTGTGTTAATTTGATCCTACACTCGCCACAGAATAAAACCTCTTGCAGAGTGCACTGCTCAACAAAGAATAGTTGTGAGTATTATATTATCTTTGTTTCACAGATTGTATATCTCTCTATGTATGGTTGATAATTCTTGCTACAATGTACCTTTAGCCACTATCTATGTCCCCTTAGGATCCACCCCACCAGAAGACTGTTGGTGAATTTCTCACCTTAAAAGTTGAGCCCCTCTTTTTGATAATTTGAGTAAGTAGAGTGTCTGTATACATTCTTACAAACTTGTTGTAACAAATTGTTCAATTGTAATTGTGTGTATTCATGATATGTGTTGTTTGTAGACCCAACCGCCTGACGAAGACTCTTGTGAGTCGAAACCGGTAGCAGGTTGGAATCATTTCATTTGACTACTGGAGTCTACTCACATGTAATAAAGAAAGGACATTTTCTCGAACGAAGACTTTGCTTTATACTTCAAGAGAAGAACCTATTGTTTCTACTTATATGTATGTGGCAGTTTTTGATATGTATATTTGTAATGTATACATTGAGTTAATCTAGCTATTTTCATATCACCACTATCAGTGGATTTTGGTCTCCACAGTTTCAGGGGAACCCATTTTTCTTTTTTGATATTACCCCCTTGCGACCCCCAGGGGTCCTGACCCCAGGTTGAGAAATGCTGCCTTAAGGTCATCTAGTCCAACTCCCTTCACCAGTGCAAGAAAACATAATCAAAATCCTCCTGACAAAAAGCCATCCAGCCATAGATATAGATATATATAATTCACACACACATATATGTATATGACAGATATAGTATCACAGATTTGAAACTGACCCCTAAAGGAGGACAATAATATGTTGCATGTTCCAGAGTAGGCAAACCAGACAATCTCTACATCAACACTGATTTGGATGTTTTTATCATCCTTGTGGGAGGCTTCTCTCATGTCCCCGCATGAGGAGCTGGAGCTGATAAAGGGAGCTCATCCGCCTCTCCCTGGATTTGAACCTGCAACCTGTCAGTCTTCAGTCCTGCTGGCACAGGGGTTTAACCCACTGCGCCACCGGGGGCTCCGGATGATTTACTGTAACCTCTGGTTTATTAGTTAAACTGAATGGCTGTGTCGCAAAAGTATGCATGTCACAACAGCATGTCACCAACATGACAAATTTGGAAAGCTGCTTTAGAGGCAGCCCCCTTCGGGTCCGGCCACAACTCTTTCTCTCCATGAGCCCCACAACTGGAAGCATGTTGCTAGCTCCATCCCACAGCTGCCTAATCTGCAACTTCAGTTGGATTGTCTCCACTTGGAAAACACAGTTGGTTTTGGAGGTCACCTTCAGTCATTACAACTATAAAGCTCAAACTTCAGCAAACACAAGATGAGTACAGTTTACAATTTCATAATGGCTGAACAGGATGCCAACCATAATTATTTTTATATACCGTAATAATGCTATCAAAATTAAAATTATGGTTAATTATACATAATTGTAATTATAGATAATAATAATTAGTTACCTTTATATTCTGGCTTTCCTCCAAGGAGCTCACAGAATACCTCCTCCTCCTCCAGCCATTATTATCAACCTTTGGTTCTCCAGGTGTTGGGACTTATTATTCTGTTTATTCTCTGACTGAGATGCAGTATCTCTGACAGTTGGCCAAGCTGGAGAGCCAAAGTCCCAAACATCTGGAGAACCAAAGGTTGATAAAAAAAAAAGTTGAAATAGCCATGTTTAAATACTTGAAAGGATGTCATATTGATGAGGAAGCAAGCTTGTTTTCTGCTGCTCCAGAGACTAGGACACAATGGAACAACATATTCAAATTACAGGAAAAGAGATTGCATATAAACATCAGGAACAACGTCCTGATAGTAAGACTGCCCAATAATGGGATATGCCTGCCTCGGAGTCTGGTGCGGTCTCCTTCTCTGGAGTTTTTCAAGCTGAGGCTGGTTGTGTAATGTAAAATTAAACACGTGTGGTTCATGTTTGATCAGCCCACACACTGTCTTGCTAGAGAAAGAAAATATGCCACACAGGTGAACAATAAAGAACAAATAATCGAATCTAATCACCTCTCAACAAAAGTTTGCTCCAGGCACTGTCGGGCCATTATATGCTAATCAAGGTGGTCAGTTGAAACATTCACACCTAGCTCCAGCAGACAAGAGTCCTTTGTCCCACCCTGGTCTTCCCACAGATATAGAAACCCATTTTCCTAGTTCCAACAGACCTCACTACCTCTGAGGATGCTTGCCATAGATGCAGGCGAAACGTCAGGAGAAATGCCTCTAGAACATGGCCATATAGCCCGAAAAAACCTACAACAGCCCAAAGAACAAATAGTTTACTCTTCATAGTTCAGAACAACATATGTACAATGTGATCAGTTGCAACAACTCACATTATGTCCTTTTATGAGAGATTTAAAATGATCTTTCTTTATCCATGTTGGATAAACTCTTTCAGCAGTTCATGAAGCAAGAGTACACTCCAATATCTGTCTCTCTATGCTTTTCTCTTCTCTCTCTGCATCTGAATAGCTCAAGCCTGAACAAAAATGTAACAGTAACCAAAAGTCCCAGGCTCAGCTTTCAATGTATGTTATACTGTAGTTGGATCACATACAACCATTTGTGGTGGATGGCTCTCTCTCCATGCAGACACCAACCATGGCAAGTTCCTTTCTTTTTAGGCTTAGGGTGAAAATAGACACTGAGGAAGACAAAGTCCCCAAGATCAGCATGTTTCCCATCTGATAGAGGGATTTTCTCAGCTTCAGATTTGCAAGTAAAGACCAATAAAAAAATTGCAAAAGAAAATGTGCTAAAGGCAAAATACAGAGGTGAGAGAAATCACGTACAATGGGAAACAGACATATCACCACTTGAGGGAGCACAAATAATCATAATACGGTAAACATGAAAGCTGAAATCAGAGCAAATATGTATCTGTACCTCTAGGTCAATAATAATAATAATAATAATAATACTTTATTTATATTCCGCCCTTCTCACCCCGAAGGGGACTCAGGGCGGATCACAGTACATATACACGGCAAACATTCAATGCTGCTTTGTATAGACAATACACAGACAGACAGAACAGAAGGAGGTGGTTTGTTTCAGCTGTTTTTGGTGTCATGGAAGGTTGGGCTCGAGTCCAGGGGGTGTTGTTCTATCGTCTATGACGAAGAGCCATCAGGACTTCCTCCGTTTTCTGATCTTCTTTCTGTTTTATGGCATCATAAAACACCTCCCCCGCTTTTAGCGGTACCTAATTTCTCTAATCACAGCTAAAGCTGTTTTCAAATTGCTTAGGTAAACAATGAGCTAGGCTGACAGTTGGCAGCTCATGCCAACCTGGGGCTTCGAACTTGCAACCTTTTGATCGATAGATCTTATAATTGCTGATGATTTACCAGCTGTGCTAAACCTCCGGCCCAGCCTGTAACTGCAACAGGAGAATCTAGTCAGTATCTATGAACACACACACACATTTCAAGGCTCTAGTCTCACCTTGAGATTCCTCTCCTTAGCCTCAGGACTGGAGGAAAGGGTCCAAGCTCAGAGATGTAGGTATTTCTGAAAATGAGGTATGAGACACAATTTCAGTACAGATTCAGTGTGCTGTCGCACGCTGGGCCTGTGCATCAGTCTGTAGACAGGACATAAATTCCGTGTGCCCAATGGGACGCCGGGACTGCCTCAGATTAAAGGCCCTTGGATTTCCTTAAAACAGAGTCTTTAGATTGCTTAAAGGTTCAACAAAGTTCTTTATTGATGAAAACAAACAGGTACTTGAAAGCTTTCTTAACAGTCTATTGGCTCTCTCAATCTTGTCCACAGGGATCAGGCACTATCTTCATAACTGTATACTAACTAATGGGGAAATCCTTAACTTCTACTCTGGGCAGTCTTCCTTTGCCTCTGTTGTTGTGGAGCCCCTACACCCGGTACCAACTGCTTCTGGCTTCCGTGAGTGACCCTTACCAAGCAGAGCTTTGTAGACTTCCAGGGGAAAAGAATTCAGGCTTCCGTGATGGCTGACTGAAGTCCTTCAGCAAAGGAACTGTAGGACTGTATGATCCTCGGCCAAGCTGTGGGCTGTATAACCCTGGCCAAGCTGTAGGCTGTATATCTCCCCGGCCAAGCCATAGAAGACGAAGCTTTCTACAGGAGCTCTTAGTATTATGTCCTGCATGAAAGGCTTCTCTGTGTGGACTGACCTAAAAAGGCTCCTATTCCCTCCAAGAACCCAAAAAGGGAATGGGACCAGGGAACCTAACTATAATTGACAGGTGGCTTGCCCTATGATTGCAGCCAAAAGAAGCCACCTATCTGCAGAGTCCCTTAAACTTAGGACTACAACAAACATTCAATGCAAAGCAAACAAAATTGGAGCTCCTGGTACAGCTGTACCTGCACATTCAGTTATTGTTAACTGCCATCAAGTCAACTTTGGCTTTCGGTAACCTTGTGAATGAGTCATGGCTTCTCAAACTATGACAGTCCCTGTGCAGTTGTCTTGGTTTCCAAGGAGAGTTCAGACATGATTTTCTCCAGGACCCATTTATTGATGTTTTTAGATCATTCTGGTATCCACAGAACTTTCCTCCAGCATCACATTTGAAATAACTTGATTTTTTTCCTGTCAGTTTTCTTCACAGCCACACATAGAGATGGGGAAATACGGTGACATGGGTCATCCTAACTTTAGTATTCAATAATATATCTTGAAGTTTCTGAATCTTGTTCCACGATAACTGCCCTTCCAAGTCCTTCTCTTCTTCTGATTTCTTGACTTCAATCTCTTCAATGGCTAATGACTGGGACAAGTTTTGAACTATTTCAGTGTCTCCATTGTCTGCTTTAGAGTTATATAAATCATCTTATGGTCATGCTTTCTTTTTCTTCATGTTCATCTCCAAACCTCTCTTTGCGCTTTCTTCTTTGACTTCCTTCAGTCATCAGTGAGTAAAGGAAGGTCAATGGGAAACAAGATTGGCTCACAACTCAGCTTTGTGCGATGAAAATCATTGTTGGTATTGAATTTGCAGAAAATAGCAGACCAAGGTTTTCATTACACAAAGCCTCGGTGAGCAAATCTTGGCTCCCATTGTCCTTTCCCTCTTCTCCTGTCACTTAGATTTCGGGTTAAGGAGGACTGCGAATGCTTGAAATAAACAAACTCACTCCCCCTTTTAGGAGTCATAAAAGACAAGTAGGATTCAGTGTCATCGCTTGATAGGAACATCCCCATCACGGTCAACGATACTTGAAGACAAGAATCCTGGCAGAGAATCTTGCATTGTGACAACTTTAATTGGCAAGCACTCTGGGAACCACAAAGAGACATTTGCAGCAAAAGGGAAGGTAGGTCACTCATGAGGAGGAGAGAAAATGATACCCTTCAGTAGTTCCGGAGGTGTGTTTATGTCTTAGTCTGTTTACATTTGAAACAGCTGTGTTGCTGTTGTCACTTTTTAATGAATGGTGGAGACAAGTGAAATGCTTAAATACAGAAAAGTCTCTAAT